GTTGAATGGTGTGCGTTGGGGTCTAAATAAAGTCAACATGCCTTTTAGGCTATAGTCACCGTACTTTTGCAAGTAAACGTGGAGGCAACTTGTCAATGGTTTTGTTTTGATAATGGTGCAAGAGGCAATTATTCTTTCTAAGAGGCTACACTTATAGCCTATGCTTAGAACACTCGTTTAATTTATCATTTTGTCATTATTGTTGCTGTTGTTTTTTGTTGTTGTTGTTGTTGTTGTTGTGTGAAGTGACGTGACACAATAAATGATCGTTTTAAAACATTTTTTGTCATTCTAGTTTTGCTTTTGGAAATCTTCGCCTTGTCAAGCCAATGTATTGAAGCCGGTCATCACCGAACATGGCGTCTGCTATCAGTTTAACTCAGGTAAGAAAAAAATACTCAGTGTATTGTTGGGGCCATGAATAGCCTCTCTCTCTCTCTCTCTCTCACACACACACACACACACACACACAACACACACAACACACACACATCCGCACCCACACGCGCTAAAATACTTTGTAATCAATAAGCGGCATTGAATTTTACATCAAATAAAACATTATCATACTACATTAACATATAATAACACTTACGGGGTTTAGAAATCAAATAGTCATTTCCTATTAAAACAGGTGATGAAGGAAAGCGATCTGACGTCGAGGGGTCACTATATGGGTTGATGATAAGCTTCATGACGAAGCAGGAAGAATATCTAGTCGGCTCGTATATTGCAGGGTATACGGTAAGTATAGAACTCATTCTTAGTGGCCTCGTTATATTGTAGAATATACGGTAATACCCCCGTCACAGTAGAGGTACCCTGAGTGTCAGAGCAACGTAAAAATTAGCTTGTTAATATTAAATATACCTTGGAGTCATTTTTACCATAATGTTTCGAATTCTGCCGGAATGCCGTGAGAATATTAAGAATGCAGTCATAGTGCAGTTAGAATACTGTTCAAATGTCATTCGATAAATTTCCTCTTGGAATGCACTTCGAAAGTTTTTGACATGACAAAAACATTCGAGCCGGCCACAAGAATGGGTAAATATATTTGGAATGCACTCAGGATTTTTAGGATGTTTTTAGAATGCTCTTCGAATATCCTTCGAATATCCTGGAATTTTATTTCAGACGCCATTCTTAATCATTCCGCCTCTAGTGTGACGGGGATTTTATACCCCGCCAGAATGTTTCGAATGTGCCTCGGCTGAGCTGAAATATTGTTGCCAGCAATCGAACTGCACTAGTGCGCCGTTCAAAGTGTATTCTAAATATTCTTATTACCTTCTGACAGCATTTTAAATATTCCTAACTGCTTTTGAGAGCTAATACAGTCGAAAGTGCACTCATCATTCCTAGCAAATTCAAGCGCATTCTGAGTATTCCAACGGTACTCTTACAATAATTAAGGTCAATTTTAAATTTTTCCCCGAATATTGCGCGAATTTTAAGAATTCTTCGTTCAGGCTCATTGTTCTTCATTCCTGCTGATTCCGAATAAGTGTGACGGGGGCTTGAGTCTAGAACTCATTCTTAGTGGCTTCGTATATTGTAGAATATAGGGTAATTAGAGCGCATGCGTGATACTTTCTAGGTGCATTTTCACCTACTAAACGCTCTAGGTTCAATGGATTTATACCCGGCTATTTCGATAGCTATTAAGTCGGTGGGTGTACAGTTGCCCGAAGAGAAATACAGGTTAACAACATTTGCCTCCCCCTTCTCCCCCTGCCCCCCCCCCCCCCCCGTTCAGCTGTGATCTGGATCATCTTGAACGTTTTGATTAAGTTAAATTTCACTTGTAAGACAAAAGGAAAAAGAAAGGCAAATGATGGAAGGAAAGACAAATATCCTCATCTCCGTATACCCGCCGTCACATAGTATTTTGCATCCTTTAATTGATAATTAATTCAACGCATTAGGAGGCTTATTATGAATAAACAGACTTACATATTGACAGCTTGGATGCTCTCATAACTTTTTGTATTATAGTTATAAAAAGGCTTGAAATCAATGAGTTAAAACTACTGTATTAAATCAATATCGTGAAATATTGTTTTAATTCAGTGTATGCAGATTATGCTTCATAATAGTTGATTTTATGGCTACTAGCACTAGTATGTAATCATGGTAAGTTTTTCTGAAAGAACCACGGTCAGTCGAACAAATTCAGTCGGAATTTGGTCTACATTGACTCACTGATCGTCTAAATAAAAATCATGAAAAAAAGAAATCAGACATGGGTGAAAGTGTCATGGAATTCCTCGTAAAAACTAGAATTATATTTATTTCAAAGAGTTTTTTAGTATATTTTACTGCTCACACTGTGTGATTCTAGATCCTCCTGCACAATTCTAAGGATCACCCTAACGTCGTCACCCAAGGTTTCCAGGTTGCCCCCGGGGGCAGCGCTAATGTCGCCATAAAACAGAAATATGTGAGTATAAATGTGTGTGTGTGCGTGTGTGCGTGCGTGCGTGCGTGTGTGTGTTTATCAAATAGTATTGTAACGCACTAAGTATAATTTTCAATATATAATGCATTCATCAATCGCAATGAAAACAGTCACTCTGCATTTCTTGTTGTAATATGACGATCTGAGTAAAAATTCAACTTCGAGGGGCTGCTTAGAATTTTCGGACAAATAATTCTGTTTTATAATTCAGTGAATTATCTAAGCATGCGGTATTTGACGAATGGACCTTTCAAAACATACACGACAAGAACTGTTGAGTCTGCTTAATTTATTTTATAGTATTTTTAAATTAACTATACATTTTCACATCACCGAGAGCAAGATGCCTTCTGGAACAGAGGTGGTAGTAACCATACACGTATTGCTTTCCAAAGGTCACATGTCACACTTTTTAAGAATACCATGTCTTGATGTATACCGGTTTTTAGGTTCCTTTCTTCTTCGTTTTATTTTATATCATTTTATTTTAATTATTGATTTACTTTTTTATAAAAGAAAAAAAAAAAAAACGTTCTACAAAAACTTTATATGAATGAAATATGTAACACTACGCAGTATATATATATATATTGTTTATCTATTAATATGTATTTTTTTTTCATAATTGCAGGTGAAAAATCTACCACAGCCCCACGGGCAATGTGCGGATAAGCAACTGGCTTATTTCCCACACTACAGTAAAATCAACTGTCAGGCAGAGTGCTTGTGAGTACTAGTAGAAGCAATACTTGTCCTTCTCACACAATTACATTGTAAAATTCGATTTTTTTTTTTCACAAAACGCTGTTGTTTGCATACACTAGTTGTCAATTTGCCCCATTCAGGCGCATGTACTATATTGATACATCCCATATTCTTATTGTGCAACAGATGGCAAATGTGCCCCCACAAATCGCCTGTAGATAGACGGATAGACCACAAGTAAATGTAGCACCAGTGTGTGTTTCATTTAACATCGCTTCAGACCTAGAAACAGCTTTGACACCGGCAGTAGTATATGTACAATAGTAGATCAGGTTTAACAGTGTTTATATAGCTGCCCTTTGTCTCGAATAAACATATTCTAAGTCAAATCTATATCCTACTTTGTTGAAAAGTAAGAACCTTAAGCACGGGTAACTGTAAAATTAGCTACCGTATCACGGTTGCCTTTTCCATCTTTTGTCTAGATGTAGGATAGGGGCCAACACACTCTATCTCCAGTTCGTCTTTATTTCCATTATAGACACAACGAAACTATAGAGAAATGCGGCTGTCGATTGGTTTATTACCCTGAAGTACCTGGCCTTAGGGAATGCTCACCCATTGACGTCAACACGTGTTGGGGACCCCTTCTCACCAACGTCTCACAGATCATGAAGAACTGCGCATGCACGGAGGCTTGCGAGACGTTCTACTTCGAGTACTCTGTAACGAACGGTCGAGTCTCTGACGTGTCGGCTCAAGCCGCTGCTGTCTTCTTAAACACTACCCAGACGTACGTGGAAAAGAACTACTTGGCCGTGTACCTGTACTACAAAGAAATGAGCTACGAGGAAGTGATTCAACAGGAAGCGTACAGCACGCTCACTCTGCTGGCGGATATAGGGGGCGCTCTTGGCCTCATTCTGGGCAGCACGCTAATGACCGTAGCGGAGATACTGGATTTCTTTCTTGGGTTGAGCATTTGGAAATTTTTCGGCGTGAAATTGTGACAGTGTAATTCGTGTTCAATTTTGGTTACATTGGGATTTTTAAGCGAAAAGATGTGTCAGTCACGAGTGGATTCAGGACTTCACTAAACAGCGGTGTAGGGGCTCGATCGGCGGTAGGAGCAGTATGCCTAATACACTCGTGGTAAAAAGGTTGATTCCACTTTTTTTCGTTAACGAACGGTCATACCACAGTTGTAAACCATTATAAATAGTGATATTCGATCCAGATGCCCTATCTGTGACTCATGGCACAAACATTGCCAAATACTGGTGAAAACATTCATATTTTATGCCGTTTATTCGAATGTTGAGCATACACTGTACTCTCTCTCAAATCTCGGAAATCTGATATACTACACTGTTTTCCACAAAGGTAAAAAAAAAACCGTAATATTCAAACTACTCAGCCAAACTTCACAAAATTTACACATCATAAGCATCAGTATGTGCTGGATAAAGCTCACGTTTCTTATAGCGAGCTAGCTAGTCTACGGCGTACTGCAATTATCTCCTGTAGGCGGCGAGGCAGCCTTCAAAGACAGGAAATCTGTTTTGGGGAAATGGCCCCATTCATAAAGAAATGCTTGTCGAAAATAGCCCAGGTTATATATATATATATTAGGGGGTTGGATTTCCTATGCATTGCTAACTCCGTTGAATGACACAGGTGCTTGGTAGGGTTAAGTATCGAGGCTCAAAGAACGTTGTTCCGTCCCCGGACATTGCGTTTCTGCAATAAATTACTCACCGGGTGAGAACTGTGAGCAAATGTGTTCTCTTGATAAGCCTGAAATGAATGACCCCAGCTAGATAATTCTGTCTCATTTTACCGAACAGGTTTGCATTTTATTTGATTCTTCATCGGAAAAAAAAGGAGCAACGAAACCCTTCTGTCAATAAAACAGCATAGAATAACTTATAATTATACGGTATACATGTTTGTATTGAAAACAGGCTCATGTTAGTCGACAATATTACGTTTTAATACTTGCGTCTTCCCGCTTGAAGCGTTATGAACTGTAAATGTCTTACAGGTCATCTGTAAAACGACGGATTTTTTTTAAATAGAAAAACGTGGAAAGTTTCCATGGAGCAAAACAATGGCCAAAAGCCATTCATTATTTAAACATGTGTCCTAATATTATGACAGGCGAACCAATAATTGCTGCGTGCATATTCTAGTTATTATTATCCTTATTGTTACATTTCGTCAATCGCTTTGCTATGTAATTGTTGGGGGTGATCAATAAGTATTCAACCGTGGAGGCATAATTTGTGCATTGCAAACACCCTGTGTCAATCTCCCGATTGTGTCAATGTCATATTCATTTTATCACTAGATGGAACGATTGCACGTGTTTTCATACGGTTTACCTACTCTACAGCAAAAGGAGGAAAATAAAAGGAATTGTGCAATTTATTGGCAGAAAGAGGATTTGTCGTTACTTTAACAGAATGTGGATGTGTTCGGAACGCTGAGATCTAAACGCCCCTTGGTTCCTTCCGCGTTCACGCCGTAGCCGACCTTGTTACACCCACTGAAACAAAAGACAAATAAAAAACCATGAATTTCAACGGTATCAAAATCTTCTTTTCTTTTGTTGAATTGCTTTAAAACCTCTTGAACCTCAAATGTTTTTTTTCCCTGAAATAAGATTCTAAGTAGAAGAATAATTTTTTTAAATGTAATTTAGGAATTTACTTAAGATTGCTGTAAAAGTCCCAAAAGTCAAATGCCATTCCTAAGCAACACTAAAAAGGTACACAAGTTGCATGGTATTAAATATGTTTAAGCTTCATTGATTTACAACCAAAGACTCTTTAATTGATAGGTTGAATTTTAAAGGGGGAAACGCTTGGTAAATAAATGATTATAAGACAAACGTTCATATCACGTTACATATATTCGGTCTGCTGCTTAGAACAAATTAAAAACTTTTTTGATACACAGTGCACTGATTTTTTTCAATGTTACTCTGGAAAGCACAAACACCAATTCAATGGCTATAAATATTCCGCTTCTTTCTTCTTTCTCTCCAAGAGCACAAGGTCACCTTTTTCAAGTACTATAAATGTTTACTCTTTCTCCCCCCCCCCTCCACAAAGGAGGGGGTCAGCGTTTTTAATCACTGTATATATTCCCTCTGTTTCTCTTTAAGAACACGGTAACAACGAGGAGCGTTTGTGCTGCCTTGCTTTGGTAATAATAAATTTTCTTTTATTCCTTCATTTCTTTCTTTCTAATCATTAAGTTATACGCTAAAGGAAATCACACTAGTGTTTAATGAAACTTTTATGAAATCAGGCCATGGACGGACACATTAAGACGTAATTGAGGGGGATAGGGTCATTTCCAGAGGGATCGATTGTCTTTTTTTAAGAATTCGGAAAACCCACTGATATACAATAAAGACAGCAATCAAGATTCTCAGATTTCTATTCACAAAAGGAAAATGGAAACAATAAATGGTTGAATGCTTTTTTGCAATGATTGTCGGCAGACGCAATCAGCGGGGGTACATGTATAGCTGTCTCACCTACACCATTTTCTACACCATTATAACCATAGCATGTAACTCCCAATAGCATATAACAAAGGTGATCAAAATTCTAATTTGTTTGTATCATAACCAAATTATAATTAGAGCCATGATAAAGAAGCGTAAGTTGATAATCATCGGAATGTTTTCATTAACTCTTATGATCATATATCTCCATCAACCCTTTATGGTACATACCCGGCTGCATTACAGGCTTTAAAGGCACACCCGCCGTTCACAGACTTCACATAAATATTAATGGCTTTCATATGGGCTGTAACTTGGTTCGCTTCAATGGCTCCATTGTTGATGTAAAAATCAATGTCGCCTGGTAATACAAACGCAATGCAGGGATTTAACTCGTTTAGTAATCAAAATTTCAAATGGAGAAACTAACAGACGGCAAGCGGGCAGAGACGTAAATTTAAAAAAGGATGCAATATATTCAATTACGGACTTGGCGGATCTTGATTTAATGCTAATTTTCGCGTTGGATCAACAGTAGAGATATAAAGTGTTTTTTTCCAGAAAAAAATACTACTATGATCGCTGGTCACAAGCATGTAATGTACAGCGAATCTCTTACCCGCAGCAAGAGCAGCGACAGAACTGGTATGTATCACTTGCACCAAGTCTGCGGCTCCTGTATATATGCCAGCGACAGGGTCCAGTGCTAATAAAAAAAAAATCAAATTCAGATTTTTCTAGATTTTGAACATTGATATCTCTCTCTCTCTCTCTCTCTCTCTCTCTCATGCAAAATTTCGCCTGCATTTACATTCGGAAAAGGCGCTCATGTGCTGAAAAGAAATGACATTAAGAGAAAAAAGACTCGATATACACTTAATGGTTTGCCAAGATATCTGACCAAATCATGTATCATGTTAACTTTTCTTCCATATCCAGGATATCAAAGGATTGTAACAAGGTAATTTCTTGTTGTATTGCCATCGTTACATATTTAGGCTAACCCACCTACAAGCTGCCCAACTTTGATGTTGCCCACATTGATAAGTCCCAAACCAGCGACTTTCATAACATTGGCACCAAGAGAGTGGCCAATCAGAGTGATACGTTTTGGACTTTGACCCATGGTTGTCATGGTACCCACGAGCCAGCCGACGTCACTGCCCACTGCGTTTGATGATGCAGCCGCAGCGAGTAGATTCGGTGTCTTGGCTCCCGTTGCCCAGTCCACCACTATCACATTGGCGTTTTCCTATACAGAAAAATCCAGATATCTTAAGGCTGGGTCACACTGCGCTTGCAACCTTTTGGCAACCTCTTTGCAACCACAAAATCTGGTGGTTGCTTGCGATCACTTTGCGACCTAATTTGCATATTTTGATCGGCAAGCAGTTGCTTACCGGTTGCAACAAGATTACAGTATGGTATCTGCAACCTCTTACAGACAATCCTCAAGTCAGAGGTTACCAGTCGCACACCGTTAGGCGAGCGATAAACAACCTGTCAGCAACCACTTGGAGACTGAAAACCGGTTGCAGGACTGTAGCGATCGCTTGCCAACTGGTAGCAGCAAGGTTGCACAGACTATATATATTTTATAAGTTGTGTCGATAGCTACCTTCTCGTAAATTTCCCTCTCGGATGACAACAGAGGGAATATTTTAAACATTATTATACAACGATTGGATCCGTTCCGTAGCAGCTTCAAATGATTTAATATTTTGAATATTAAAGTATGATTCTGCTATGAGATTCTGTTATAACGTCACAGTCGATTTA